CCCGGCAGCATTCAAGATACTTTTATCTTCAGCCATCTCGGATTCATCTATCCTTTGTAAGACAGCTCTCCAGCTTACATGCACGTCCATTTACATTCATATCATATAACATACATTGCATCATGCATCATGACATTGCATATAACTAACCCTTTACCGTTTCAGGTAAGATCAGTCGACAGACAAAAATCATTATCTCCCGAAATTCTTTCCAGGAATAGTTCAGATGTGACCCAGACATGACAATATTCTGATTCTTATTCCAGATTCATTCAGATGCAGTTTCACACGAGCTCATCATCAGGAAACCCTACACCGGCTCCTCCTCAAAACTTCAAGATTTCTGAAAACAGTTTACGGGTTCTCCAAGTAACGGATGTCAACCTATCGCTTGTTCAGTTTCTTTTCAAGACTTCTGAAAACAGTTTATGGATTCTTCCCAACAACGGATGTTAATCTATCACTTGTTCATATGCAACCTTTGAAAACAGTTTACGGACGCTTCCCAACAACGGATGCTGCTCTATTGCTTATTCAACCTCAAGACTTCTGAAAACAGTTTATGGATTCTTCCCAACAACGGATGTTAATCTATCACTTGTTCAGATGCAACCTTTGAAAACAGTTTATGGACGCTTCCCAACAACGGATGCTGCTCTATTGCTTATTCAACCTCAAGACTTCTGAAAATAGTTTATGGATTCTTCCCAACAACGGATGTCAATCTATTGCTTATTCAAGCCCCAGTCTAGAGATGGTTCAAAACATGGACACATTTCTGATCTTCATTCCAGATGGCATCTTTAAGCCCATCCCCGACGAGATTCTGCCACCCTTCCAGATGGCATCTTTAAGCCCATCTCCAAATGGCATCTTTAAGCCCATTTCCGCATCCATTTCTTTAACGAGTGCAAATTTAAGGGCACTCTAGTGTCCAATCTCCTTTTACCTTCGAGTCACGAAAGGCAAGATTGCCAATCTAACTCTTCAGGTTCAAGAAGATTGAACAGGGGCAACTGTTGTACCCCAAAATTTGCCCTCCCTTTCTTCAGGAAACCATCTTGGATTTTTAAGATCCCTCTGAAACAAATCCAAGTCCTGAGTTATCCTTTTGCCCAAGCAAGCCACTTACAAGAGCAAGATGATCTCACGAACTCCAAAAACAACGCTTTTATCTTGAGAAAAATCAAATTCTAAGTACTTAGAACGTTTCTCTAAAATGAGTGTTTAAGAGAAAAATCAGCGCTTCAGAACTTCTGGACCCATTCCAGATAAAAACGGTCAGAAGTTGCAAGCTTGGCTCAGCGTGGTCAGAAGTTGACTTTTCAGCAGCTACATCAGTTCAATCAGAAGTTGCAAGCTTGGCTCAGCGTGGTCAGAAGTTGACTTTTCAGCAGCTACATCAGTTCAATCAGAAGTTGTAAACGTGGTTCAGTATGTAAGCCTCAAACAGAACATGCCCCTTCAGCAGTTACACAAGCTCAGTCAGAATTTGCTAAAGGAATGCAAGAGAAGCAGGGAGGTCTGAAGGCTCCTTCAGAACAGGTTGAAATCAGAAGATGAAAGATCAGAAGAATGGGTGTTACAGTGATACAGAATATCTAAAGCCCAGATTGTCCAGAAGTAAATCCAAGGAACGTACCAGAAAACCAGGAGAATCTCCAGAGCTTACTAAGACAACAGGAAGCCAAGGCCAGAGCATGGTTTACGCTGCTGATTCAACGTTGGTTTCCATTACCAGAATATTGAGGTTGATAGGTCTTATCACCATTTAATGCCCATTAATGCTTCCAACCACTCCTGAACATTCACGTGTGGCTTGGAAAACGCTTTTGTGCAGATTCTGGCATGGGTCTACGCGCGACCTCCCACTTCAGAGGTCACTTCTCCCCAATCTACGCCTGCTGCTGCAGCCTAGGCTGAAAGTTATCTGTTATCACAACTTCCCAGGAATTTCTGTCAAAGAACAAATTCAAACTCTATTGGCGCTTTAAATGTTCAAGGCATCCACAAGAACTTTGCCTATAAATAGAGAGTCTTCACCACTGCAAAAGGCGTTCAAGAAAAGAAACAGAAATTGCTAAGTGAGAAACATAACTCTTAGCAACATAGCGTTCTGAAACTCTGCCAAAATCTCCAGTTTTGTTTCATAACTTTGAGTTTCTCACCTTCAAACTTCATCAAATATCCAGTTTTCTCTGTGAACCAAAAACACCCTTTCCAAACTTCTGACCCTACATACGTATACGCCTTTACCAGTCCCTTTCAAAGAAAATCTGTCCAGAACACCACCAGAGCCAAAAGCTAACTTTCACCCACCAACTTTTCCAACAGTCAGGTAAGCACCTGCTGACCCTCATCACGCTGTTAAGCATCATCAGCTGTGCATACTCAAATAAACATAATGTAAATATCATGTTGTTGCTGTTTATGTTCTGAGGATTTTCATACCTCAGAACGTTCTGAGCCAGTATAGGACTTGCCTGTGACCTTGGTGGTTCTGACCTCTGAAACATTTTTGTATTTGCTGGATCTGTTCCAAATATGTTTCCTATTTTGTGGAGTAACAACAGAATTGCAGATGTTCTGATTAGTACAGGGAAAAGCCAAGTGCTGACTTTGATGTTAGCACATCTGAAGCCTGTTTTGCTGTCAATGATATCAGAACCTCTGAGAGTTATTGCCTTTTCAGCAGAATCAGAACTTCTGGTTTCTCCACTAACAAACTTCTGTCTTGCAGCGCAGGGGAATCAGAACTTCTGATTTCCCCACTAACAAGGTTCTATTTTGCAGGTGCCAGAGTCAGAAGTTCTGACTCATACAGTTTAACCAAGAGGTTGATCATCTGGCAGCGGATCTGAGTCAGAACTTCTGATGACCTCCCAGCAGCGCGCGGGCTCCCTCTCTCTCTCTCTCTATATCTTGTTTTTTGCTATTTTCTTTTTTGTCTATTTTTCTCGTTGAACCCCCCATGTACAAATGTGTATCCCCCTCCCCTAATTGTTGTAATAGCGTAGGATTTTATATTTCCGCTTCTTATTACTAGTAATTAGGACATGTATGGCAAGATAAAATCAATGAAATAGAAAAACCTAATTCAAAGAAAAAACTCTTGTATGCAATAAAACACACTCGCACACTAACACCCATAGGGTTACATCCACTTGTTGCCTTTCAAAATTAGGCCATATTGCATGTTAGGTCTCTTTGGGCAAAGTAAACAATCAAATGATCATAGTCCCTCGATGACGCTTTCGAAAAGTTGCCTAAAATGATCAAGTCCCTTTCAAAGCGAAATTGCCCAAAGACACTTAGCACTATTGCAATTATGGTCTAAAACGATGACCCACGCCCGTCCCTTTCATCTCCTAATACAAGATTGTCCACCAAATGCAATGGTGGAACAAAATTGTCAAAAGGTTTAAAACATAACAAAAATCTTTAAGAAACTTTAGGGTAGATAACTCTTAGGTACTTGTCAATTTGCAAAAGAAAACACTTGCCTATTTTCAAACCACACCTCGCAAACACTTTCAAAACAAACTTTCAAAAAAAACCTTGAAACACCTTTTGTAAAACATTCGAGTAAAGAATTGTTACAAGGGTAGCCTATACAAGGCATCTTTTTCAAAACCTTTTCAAAAAACCACACATAAAGCACCATTTCAAACAATTGAAAACCAAGGCAAGTTGATCTAAACAAGTACCTAAGAGCCCATGGATAACCATGGATAGAAAGGGTGCTAATACCTTCCCTTTCTATAATCTACTCCCCGAACCCAAGAAAAATCTCAAAGGTTTTTGCTGTGCTTTTTGAACCTTTCCTTAGGATAAAATAAAAAGTCGGTGGCGACTCTTGCTCAACCGAAACATTTGCGAAAACAAACGCAAAACCATAGTCAGTTCTCCCACCGTATCATAATACTTATAGGTTCCTCTTTATTGGACGGAGGAGCCTATGTCAATTAGTGACTATGATCTCGAAAAACATAGTGAGGTGGAAAGAGGTGTGGTTGATTTCCTAGAACAACACCAAAAACTAAATATTTAAAAACTTTGATCATATATCAAAATATAATCAATTGTCAAATAATTATTTAATCGTATTTTAGTACATTAAATATATACATTCTTACATTAGACCAACATAAACTTCTCATATGTATTTTCCATATAAGACTCCTTCAACCCATCCAATATTTGAGCAAGACAACTCTAGACGACATGGTCACATTGGATGATCTAAAACTGAGGCACATCTAGAAGTGTGTGTTTAGTTAGTCATGATCATCAAACTACAATTAAGGAAAAGATAGGTGGGAGTTACTATTATCCGAAGTAAATGGTCACTACAAAGCCATAACTAGGGTAAACGTGTGATTCTTCTCTTCCACACACACTCGTACACAACACTAACATTTTGTGTCCATCATGAGTCCATAGTAAAGACAACTTTTTGGTTACACTCTCTCGGTTAAATTAAAATAGTGCAATCACAACACTCATCGAATGTTAGATGGCTCTCACGAAAATTCACTTCGTGCCCCCATTGAAGAATTACATCGCTGAAATGAGGACCTACATACAAGCATCCAATAAATTTCACTACAAGAAAAATGCTCTACACCCACGATCACTTTTTAAAACTGACATATTTTCCCTACATATGTAAGATTCCATCACTAAAATAAGGTCTATATAATTTATTTATATTTTATATATTATTATTTTAATTCTATGAGCTAACAAAAGAAAAATAAAATATTCACAAAAAAACTCACTTAATACTCTCCCTATCACAAAACTTACCGAACACTCTCACTCCAAAATACAAACCCTAAATCGCTATTTCTCACCTCCCTCTATCACCTAACAATTCATCTCAATGATTCTTCCACAAAATTCTCAATTTTTTTATCACCATTATCAGATTCACTATTTCGATTTCACTATTATCGAAAGAAGATGATGTCGAAGTCAAAATCGAAGGTGTTGTTTTGATGATTTATGTGGAGTTCTTGCAACGTCTTTCTTCTGGCATCATGGTAATGATTTCGACGATGACACTTTATCTACCTCTACACATGTTTTGGTTCACGAGCTATTGATCTGAGTGATTATCTCTATAATTACAGGTAGATTGGGTATTGAGGTTACTTCTCAATCAAATATTGCTTACATATATGAGGAATTGTGCATTGGATGTGGTATTTGTGTTAAGGTATTGAAGATTTTATTATCCTGTTGTTAGATTTGTTTATTGTTGATAGATAATAGGTGTGGGGTGTATATTGATGATGAGTTTGTTTGTTGGTTATGAATTGGTGTAGGAATGTCCTTTTGATATCAAATAATAAACTTACCTAAGGATTTGAACGAAGACACCACTCACAGATGTGTTCCCAATACTTTTAAGCTTCACAAGTGCAAAATTCGCTGCATTTACCTGAGAAGTTTGTGTTAGTATGTTTTTTAATTAAAAGAGTTGTAATTGTAGGTTACCGGTTCCAAGGTCGGTGCAAATGCTTGATTTGGTTGGGACAAATGGAATTGGAAAGTCCACCGCCCTCAAAGTTTTGGCTAGAAAGTTGAATCCAAACTTGGGTCGTTTCACTGTAAGAACCAAATTAGTTTTTTATGGGATAGACACATGTGAGGTTTTATTGCATTAGTTTTAACTTAGATTTTATTTTATAGAATCCTACTGATTGATAACAAATTTGATCTATTTTTGAGGCTCTAACTAGCAGAATTACTTTACTTCCATTCTAGAGGATGATTTGAAGGTGATGTCTACTTATTTAATATCATTATGTATATGTGCTTGAGATATCTTAATGATTTATACTTGGTGGTTGTATGAACAATGATTATGTGTTTCTCTAACCTGTAATTTTTTTTGTTAGAAATTAGTTTTTTTGTATTCTTTTTATTCTTTAACCAGACTATTTATTAATTATTATGAACCTCAATGATAATTTCCTTAATTGAGAATCGGTACTCTGATTCAAAGTTTATCATGTTGACATTGACTAGGATATATTGTGATTGTGATTTGTGAGTGTGACATTGTTATGTAGAAGTAACTACTAGTAGGTGACTAGTAAGAAACTACAACTTAGATAATTTTTACAGATCTGGGAAAAAAATAATGAATGCCTCTTGTAAAGTTTGAAGAGGGATTATAAAATTTTACTAGAGGGTCTTATATACAGGGGGGGAGAGAGAGTATATATGGTTTTATGTTTCACTACTGATTATGTACTATAAGTAAATGTAGCATTATAACAATCACTTCATAATCCCTTATTTTTTATAAACACTTTTATGTTTACTTGATACCCTAGCATTTGCTTTTCTTACATTTTTATGAATGTCCATTCATTTAAATCAAGTTGTTTTTGAAGTTTGTCTTGATGAGATTGTGTGTCATTTATTTTTTTCCTTTTGGGTTCTAACTGTGCATATTCAATGTGTGTTATAATACATGCTATCATCAACCATCAGTATGTTGATCACATTCCATAATGAGTGCAAGGGAATGTAGGACATGTTCTAGACTAAAAGAATGACAGAGATATGAAGTAAGAGCTTTGTGCTGATCTTGAGCTTAATTAAGTTATAGATCGTAATGTTGGTTATCTTTCTGGGGGTGAGCTCCAAAGGTTTACGATTGTGGTTTTTGCCATCCAAAATGGTGAGATATACATTGTGATACGGTGGAAGAACCGACTATTTATATTGGTTTGTGTTTTGTGTTTTTTGTTCATAAAATGTCGCGGTAAGCAAGAGTCGCCACCAACTTTTATTTTATCCAATCAGGAAAAGGAAAAAGAACAGAAAAAACATTTTTCGAGATGTTTCTGAGTACGGGGTAGATTATAGAAAGGGAAAGTGTTAGCACCCTTTCTATCCGTAGTTATCTACGGGCTCTTAGGTACTTGATCATTTTTTAAATTGCTTGTGTGTGTTTGTTTTGAAAATGTTTTACTTCATGATAACCCTTGTATCAGTCCTCAAGGATGTGACGAAGTTTATTTTGAAAATTGTTTTGAAAGGTGTTTGTGTGAAAAGTTTTTATTGAGCAAGTACTTAAGATTCTACCTACTCGAAAAAAGATTGTTTCTTCTCGTTTCCTTTAGACAGCGCTATCCTACTATTAAGGAGTAGGTAGCACCATCGTTGGAGTTGTAAGGGACATTCTAAAGGGACAAGTACAATCACAAAAGCAATGGTTAGAAACTTTAGTAATAACCCTAGAGTCTTAAGATCTTTCTGAGGCAACATTTCTGAGGCAACATTCGAATGAGACAATTTGATCTTTTTAGACTGGAGGGAAACCACTAAAATCTCCTATGCTTAATGATTGTTTACCGAAGCCAACTGAAGTGAGGTAAACCCTAGGAGTGAATATGTGCTTATGATTTGTTTCAGTTATTTAATCTTTGCACATTAGGCGATCTACCGTTTTAATTTTCCAAACATTCTTGCCATACAATCCTATTAGCATACATCTAGACAGTTAAATATTTGCGGAAGTTTAAAGTGCGAGAAAATAAAACCTAGCTATTACAAGGCTTCGGGGAGGGGGTTAATTACATAACCAAAAATCGGGGATTAAACAGTAAATAAAAGCCCTAGGCCAACTATTACAAACCCTTAGCAGTTACAAAAAATAATGGAAAAGAAATAATTAAATGTGCGACGAATTAAATACGAGGAGGAATTGAAAACCATAAAATCTAATTGAAAGAAAATAATTAAGTTATTTTAGAGAAAAAAAGTATTGATTAAATTATGTGCGACTGAAAACCTAATTCTAATTTTTTTTTTATTATGAAAGAAATTGAAATTAAACTAATCTAAACTAAATTAAATAATTTCAAGAAAAATAAAATATTTTGTACAAAAAGATTTTGTATGTTTTTTGGTTTTTTATTTGAGAAAAGAAATATAAATTGTAAAATTAAAACCTAGATTATATTTGATTTTAAATGAAAAAAAATTAAGTTTACCTAACTTACTAATTAAATTAAATAATTTATTATTAAAAAAAATACTTTTTGTGTTTTTGTGATTTATTGATTTTATGATTAATTAAAAAAACAATTAATTGTTTTGGTGAAAAATAATTAAACAAAAATAATTAAAACAAAAGAAATAAATAAAGAAAAGAAAAAGAATGGTCCTGTTTGCTAGCAGAAGGGGGTGTCAACCTGAAATTCCAAGCCCAATAATGCTGAGCCCAGTCAACCACGCTAGATCCTGTGCAGCATTGACTTTGAGGTGCATCATAGTCCTTCAGGCTGGGATGCATTGAATTTAATGCTATGCTGATCAAGTGGTTGGATGCTGATGACACATGGTAGGCGTGTGAGAGAGCACTGCATTGGATCTGCAGAGAAGTATGAAGAAAATAATAAAATGCACACGCCTGGGATCGAACCCAGGACGTGTACATCAAAGGCACACTCCTCAACCGTCTGCGCTAACTTGTTAACTTGTTTATATAATGAAAACAAAACGTAATAAATAAAACAAAGTAATGGACTCAGAAAGGCGCGCGAGATTCAAATGAACCAATGGTGGGCTGCCACATATTATCTTCTTCCTGGAACTGTCGTATTAGGTGATGACCTTTACCTACAGACACTTTCCGTTGCTATATCCCTGCGCAATTCAAAAACTCAACAAACGCAATATAAATGGAATTGGATACCAGGGTTCCATTGGTTATGATGTCACGGTCATCATGGTATCTTGTTGGAGGTCTAATTTTACCTGCATACAAAGACCCGAAAACTCATGTAGAAACCCTAACAATGGCAGATGCGTGTAAAGGCCTCAAAAATGCAATTAAATCATGCGGTCAACTTGAAAACATGATAATGATCACAAATATAACAGTTAAAGGTGCTAATGATGCGTAAATTGTAATAATCGAATTTGAAAAACCTTGCAAACTGTGTGAGGTGTAGAGACGAATTCTGGGCGTTTCAGACCTTGCAAATGGTTGGGATGGCTTCAGTGCACGCCCAGGATATGATGGCTGGCCTTGAATTGCTCTGAAAGGTCCTCTAGATTGAAAACTCAACCTTACTTTTTGTCAAGATTTTTGAGTTTGCTTTTGGCCTTTTCGTGACTACAATCCTTGTGCCTTTGATCTACAATTGTTATGCACTTATAGTAGACTGAATTAGGTCAATAAAATTGGCATGAATCTTGAGAAATAATGGAAATTGGATTTGATTTGCTCTTGTATGATATATTTCTAAAACAAGCTTCAATCCAATCTTTTCCAATCCTAATGAGTCTTGCACGAATTGATCATCATGCTAGCTGTACATAGACTCCAAATGTGCACAAAAATCCCAAGATTTGATTTGCTTTTATTATTTTACCATTTAATTTGATTTATTTTGATTTAAATGAATAAAAAATAAAAATAAATGATAAAAATAATAAAATAATAGGTGGTAAAGCTCAGGGGTCGTGGGTCCTATTAGAAACATGTTTCAAACAAGAAAACATGGGCCCCTTTGGAAAAAAATGCAAATTTGATCAATGTTGACTTTTGACAATTTTCCAAAAATTACCAATTTTGACAATGCACAACTCTCTCAATTTTGATCCTAGGAGGGTGTTCTTGGACTTTTTAGAAATCTTATTATGTCCCCTAAACAACCCTTTTGGTTTCATCTCAATTGGATCTTCCATGTTTATGTATGAAGCTTTGACCCAAAAGGTGTTTTTGTTGACTTTTCAAAAGGATCTATAATGTAAAAATTCATATCTTTTGATGAGTGCATATTTTGAACTTGTGGGATGAAGATGAATTGTAGGTAATTTCATCCTCTTCAAAGTGAGCCTGGGATGGAAAATTTCTGATAAAGTATGAAGAAGTTATGCTTGGTCCAAGTTGGGTTGATTTTCCTGCAAAACCCTAATTTAGCAACTTTTGGGTTTTGATGAATTTGGAGCATTACTTGAGGAATCATGATCAATCCTTGATCAAATAATGAAATTAACTTCAAAATATTAATGTTGACCAAAAATCTTGAAGTTTGACTGTATGTGGGTCACAGTTGACTTTTGACCTAATACAGTCGATTCTCAAGCATCTAAGCAGTTGACTGAGCAAACTTCTTGTGCAAGGCATGAAACTTGACATGTAGGGTCTTGTGAACATATTAGGACCATGGAGAGCATATGAGGCATTTGTGGTTCACCCATCTTGATAAAAATGGAAACCCTAATTTGAGATACACTGCCTTAGGAGAGAGTTTTTCTGGTCCACTCTTGGGCAACCTTGAGCAAATTGAAGATTTCAATGCACATGTATTGAGTAAAATGAGAGGGAAAATTTTGGGGTACAACAGCTTCCCCTGTTCAATCTTCTTAAACCTGAGGATGTAGAATGACTCGTCTGGCTTTCGTCATCTAAAGGTGGAAGATGATTGAACACTAGAGTGCCCAGAAATTTGCACTCGCATGAAGTGACACTTGATTGGTGATTCGGGAATGAGCTTATAGATGCCATTCGGAAGCTGCTATAGAATTGTCGGAGATGGGCTTAAAGATGCCATCTAGATGATGCTGATTTCCTGAGACATTCCTTTGATGAGAGTTCCTGTTACTGTTGCTGATGAGGAATCTGCTGAGGAACGTTGGTATCTGACTTTGGAGAAATAGAATTTTAGGAGCTTCAGTTG